AGGAAGACAGAAAGAATGGAACAAAGGAACTACGAAACAGCCAGAAAAACAATAAGACGAGATTAGTAAATCCTTATCTATCAATAACTACTTTAAATACAAATGGATTAAATTCTCCAATAAAAAGACCTAGAGTGATTGGATGGATAAAAAAACAAGACCCAACTATATGCTGCCTACAAGACTCACTTCAGCTTTAGGAAGAAAGATAGGCTTAAAATGAAAGAAGGGAAAAAGTGGAAACCAAAAGAGAACAAGGGTAACTATACTTATATTAGACAAAATAGATGTTAAGTCCAAAATAGTAACAACAAACAAAGAAGGTTATGATATAATAATAAGGGGTCAATTCATCAAGGGGATATAACAACTATAAATATATATGCACCCAACATTGTAACATCTAAATATATTAAGCAAATACAACAGATCTAAAGGGAGAAATAGACAACAATACAATAATACAAGGTGACTGCAATACCCTACTTTTAATAATGGATGCATCATCTAGACAGAAAATTGATAAGGAAATATTGGACATGAACTACGCTTTAGATCAAATTAATCTAACAGCCATATACAGAGCATTCCATACAAGAGCAAAAGAATATACATTCTTCTCAAACACACAGGAAATATTCTCCAGGATATATCAAAAGTTAGGTCACAAAACAAGTCTTAATAAATTTAGGAAGACTGAAATCATACCAAAGATGTTTTCCAACGACAAAGGTATGACACTAGAAATCAACAAAGGAGGAAACTGGAAAATTCACAAAAATCTGGAAATTAAACAAAACACTCCTGAACAACCAATGGGACAAAAAGAAATTAAAAGGGAAATCAAAAAATATCTTGAAACAAATGAAAATGGAAACACAATATACCAAAACTTATGGAATACAGCAACAGCAGTTCTAAGAAGGAAGTTCATTGTGATAAACATCCACATTAAAAAAAAAAAATATCTCAAACACCTAACTTTATACCTCAAGCACTTGAACTTTACACTCCAAGAAAAAGAACAAACTAAGCCCAAAGGTAGTAGAAGGAAGGAATTAATAAAGATCAGACCAGAAATAAATGAAACAGAGACCAGAAAAACAATAGAAAGGATCAATGAAACTAAGAGCTGGTTCTTCAAAAAGACATTCAAAATTGATAAACCTTTAGCTAGACTAAGAAAAAAAGAGAGTACATTCATATAAAGAAAATTAGAAATGAAAGAGAAGACATTACAACTGACATCATAGAAATACAAAGATCATAAGAGACTACCATGAACATTTATATCCTGGCAAATTAGATAACCTAGAAGAAACAGATAAATTTCTAGAAACATACAACCAACCAAGAGTGAATTATGAAGAAATAGAAAAACCTGAACAGATCAATAATGAGTAAGGATACTGAATCAGTAATCAAACCTCCCAACAAAGAAAAGCCAAGGACCTGATGGCTTTACAGGTGAATTCTACTAAACATTTAAAAACAGAATTAATACCAATCCTTCTTAAACTCTTCCAAAAAAATGCAAGAGAAGGGAATACTTCCAAACTCATTTTACAAAGCCAGCATTATGTTGATACCACAGCTACACAAGGGACATCAAAAGCAAAAATCAACGAATGGGACTACATCAAACTGAAACGCTTCTGCACAGAAAAGGAAAGCATCAACAAAATAAAAAGGCAACCTAAATGGGAGAAAATATTTACAAATCGTATATCTGATAATGGGTTAATATAAAAAATATATAAAAATATAAAATATATAAAACTCAATGGTCAAAACCCAACAATCTGATTAAAAAAGGAGCAGAGGATCTGAATAAACACTTATCAAAAGAAGACACAGATGGCCAACAGGTAGTCAAAAAGGTGTTCAACATCACTAATCATCAGGAGAATGCAAATCAAAACCACAATGAAACATCACCTCACACCTGTTAGAATGGCTGTCATCCAAGAGACAAGAAATAACAAGTGTTGGATGTGCAGAAAAAGGAATCCTTGTGCACTGTTGGTAGGAACGCAAACTGGTACAGCCACCATGGAAATCACTATGGAGGTTCCTCAAAAAATTAAAAATAGAACTACCATATGATCCAGCAATTCCACTGATGGGTATTTATCCAAATGAAACAGAAACACTAACCTGAAAAGACAGATGCACCTCCATGTTCACTGCAGCATTATTTACAATAGCCAAGACATGGAAGCAACCAAAGTGTCCATCAAGGGATGAATGGATGAAGAAAATGTGAGGCATATATATGATGGAATATTATTCAGCCATAAAAATAAAGGCAATCTTCCCATTTGTGACAATATGAATGGACCTTGAGGGCATTATGCTAAGTGAAATAAGTCAGACAGAGAAAGACAAATACCATACAATCTCACTTAGATGTGGAATCTAAAAAAGAAAAACTAAATTCACAGATATAGAGAATAGATTGGTGGTTGTAAGAGGTGAGGGGTGTGGGGTGGGTTAAAGGGGGAAAGGTGGTCAAAAGATACAAACTTCTAGTTATACAACAAATAATTCTTGGGAATGTAATGCACAACACAGTGACTACAGTTAGTAATACTGTATTGTATATTTGAAAATTGTTAAGAAAGTAGATCTTAAAAGCTCTCATCACAAGAAAAAAAATTGTACTGTGTGTGGTGATGGATGTTAACTAGACTTCTGTGGTGATCATTTCACAACGCATACAAATATCAAATCACTATGTTGTATGCCTGAAACTAATATAATGTTACATATGTCAACTATATCTCAGTAAAAAAAAACAAAGGCAGTACAAAAGAAAAAAGAAAACCAAAGACTAATATCACTCATGTATATAGAATAGAATTTAGTAATATATAAAAATAATTATATACCATGACCAGGGATGTACATATTCCAGGGACGTAAGGTTAGTTCAAATATTTCAAAATCAACCAGTCTAATCCACCATACTAACAGGTTAAATAAAGAAAAAAAAAAAAATCACATGTTCATATTAATCAATGAAGAAAAAATTCAACACCTATTCATGATAAAAACCCTTAGAAATACAGGAATAGAAGGGAATTTCTGACTTGATAAAGAGCATCTATAAAAAACCTACAACAAATATTACACTTAATGGTGAAAGACTGCATGCTTTCCCCATAAGACAGGGAAGAAAGCCAGGATGTCCGTTCTCACCCCTCTTCTTCAACACACTGCTGCAAGTTCTAGCCAGTGCAATTCGAGAAGAAAAGGACATAAAAAGCATAGAGACCATAAAGGCTGAAATAAAACTATTCTTATTAGCAGATGCATGATGGTCAGCACAGAAAATCACAAGGAATCTATAAAAGATTTTCAAAAACTTTTCTAGAACTAATAAATGAGACAGGCTTATGAATGTTTTCCAAATCCGTATTACCTCTCTGAAGATATGTCACTGACCATCCTAGTTGGTCTTGTGTTCCACTGCTTTTTTAGTGTCAAAGAACTCTAACACATTCATTGTCACCAAAAATATTTTATTGCTGATATCAAAGCAAATGATTCTGCTTATCACATTCTTAATCTAACTTATTTTTAGAAAGATAAAGCTATAAAATTTTGATAAAGAGAAAATTCTTAGAGAATCCCTTAAAAAACAGAACAGCATAAATTATGCTCAAATTTAAAATCTCCATGTGCATTTAATATAAGCAAAGTATTAATACGGCATTTTAAATAGTCCTTTCCATAGAAGACCCTGTATCAGATTCTTACTTTTCCTTCACTTATTTTGGCCTAAAATGCATTTCTGGAGGGGCTGGACCATCCTAGCTAAAACAGTACCTTCTCTTCCTCTCTGTTTCTCTACATAACCAAGATCGCACCATGACTCTCAACTCTGCAAGAGGCTCCCATTTCACTCACAGAAAAAATCAAAGACCTTCTACTAGTCAGTAGGACTCTACTGATCAGGTAACAACCTCTCTCCACCCCTTTACTTCTCTAACCTCATCTCCTTCCTCTCTCCTTTCTTGCTCATTCCGCTCCAGCCATGCTGTCCTCTGTGTTTTATCTGAACTCATGAGGAACATGCTGACTTTAGGGCCTTTGCACTGACTAGTCCTCCTGCTGGGAACACGTGTTTCCCATGTAACTGCATGGCTAAGCCCCTTTCCATCTTCAAGTTTTGCTCACATGTCACCTTCTCCATGAGGCTTACACCTGGACCACCCTACTTAAAATCAGAACAGTCTTCACCTTGCACTTCTGACCCACTCTCCTTATTCTGCTCTATTTTAAAGCACCTATCACTTCCTTACATAACGTATTATTTAGAAAGTTATACAGTTATTGTTTTATGTCTTCTGTTTGCCTTCCACCCTAGCAAGGACAAGGATTTTTGTCATTCTGATTAGTACTACATACCAAGAGTCTAAAATGACACCTGGGTACACAGTCGGTGCTCAAAAAATATTTGTTGAATGAATGGAATAAATGAATGAATGGATATAATAGGCATATCAACAATTGTCAAAATTAATCTTAATTAAGCTCAGCAATACACTGAAAAATGAATTGTTTCAAAGAAAACAAATTTTCACATGGCTCGACATCTGTATACATGTAATCCCCACTCTACACTGTTCTTCTTCCTCACCCCAACGCTCTTCCCCTACTCACATATGCCAGGCAAATTCCAACTAAATATCCCAAACTAATGTCTTCCAAAAGAGTTATCTTTGTTAACTTAAATCTGGGTAGGTGCGCCTCCTATGTACTCTCCAAGTACCTATGCTTATTTTTCTTACAGCCTTTTCATGGGTATTACAAAAACTGTTTATCTTTTTCCTAGAGCAAAATGTGAGCTCCATAAGAGCAGAAACCCTCTTACTTGTTTTTCCCTCTGAGGCATATAACCCACACTACATAACACATGATAGGTCCTCAATAAATGTTTTGTGTGTGAATAAACTTTTAAAAATCTAAATTAATAGTTTGTCACAGAAATTTACCTCTTACTTGTTTCCTTAGTTTTTCGATTTCTTCTTTTAAGTTTTTGATTTCTAAATCTTTGCTTGCTGTGAGTGGACCATCAGCAGTTGAATACTGCAGAGCTTGGACAGTCTGCGTTGACTCTAAAAAAACCAATAAAAGACAGAATGAGAAATATGATGATACTCTAAATTTTTTAAACTAATAGCAACATACATCTTTCTAGGGAAATCCTTACACAATTCTACTGATCAAAACAACCACCTTGACAAAAAGCAATGCAAACACATTAAAATTAAGTCACAAAACTCCACTGCATATGTCTTTAAAATTACATGTAGGAAAGAAGCCACCTTCTAACATGTGAGCTTTTCAATTTTAAACACTCTCCCAGTGAGTCAACTGTTCAGCCCCTTTCATCCCAGCAGAGAGTGTCATCATGTGATAACCCAAAACGTTGTGTGTCAGACGATGAATGAAAAACTGAGTCTAGTGTGTGAAGGAAGGTTTAGAGATGTTAATATATAATAGGTAGAACTGCTGGCCTTCCAAATTTTGTATATGAAAGTTGAGGCTCACCTATAGATGAGTTTTCCTCAACAATTTAGTTAAAATAGAGATTATTATTAATTTATCTTGTGGTTCTAATCAGAAGATGTAAGATATTAAAGAAACATTAATTCTACTGAGGCTTATTCTCAGCATCAAAAGATATGGAAAAAAAGAAAACTTTAAAACCATTTTATGTCAGAAATGAAACCACCCTTGTCCTAAAATAGTTATTCAGCTATCTTATGCAGGGTTCCCCGATAGTAACTCTTTTTTTTTTTTTTTAAATCTACAGTGGGTATTGTTTGGGAACCAGCTTTGTGCTTTTTTTTTTTTTTTGAAGAAGAAGAAGATTGGCCCTGAGCTAAATCTGTGCCCATCTTCCTCTATTTTGTATGTGGGATGCCGCCACAGCATGGCTTGATGAGTGGTGCACAGGTCCGTGCTCGAGATCCAAACTCGTGTACCCTGGCCTGCTGAAGCACAGTGCATGAACTTAACCACTATGTCACCAGGCTAGCCCCGCCAATATTAAGCCTTTATTGCACCATAATGTTTCGTTAGTACAAATCATTATAGATTGCATTAAGTTACTTACATTGTTTATATAAGGCTTTATATAACTTACTACTTATACAACTTATATTAATACCATATGTATTACTTATATTATTTATATATATATTTTAAATTCCAAAAGACTATGACCTTCAGAGGATGGAGAGTTTTACCACCTGTACAGAGAATAACATCGTTATCTTCGTACACTTGGTTGCCATCAAATATTTGTTAATTTGAATTACAGGTGTAAGATATACCATATTGTACATCTAATCATGATCTTCTACATCCAATACATATTTCTTAGACATTTCTTTTTCTTTGGATTCAAAACATGCTAAAAACTGATGCTTTCTGTGTTTATTATGTTTAAAAGAACATCTTTCATTTTTTTAAAGAAATCTAAGTTGGGAATAGAAAATGGAGAGTCATAAAAATACCCAGTGGACATTACTAGGCGCTGTCTTTCCTGCTCCACCCCACAAACTGCAGGGTATGGAGGTGGGGTGGGCACACCTGCTCCTCTTTGTGCCCTCTGTCCCCCGATAAATCCTAGGTCTGCTGAAAGACCTGTTTATTGTAACTATCCACTGTCTTTCCTGTCTGATTTTCTTCTTGAATAACGATCTCACACATTGTTCACTGCCCTTCTTCCCACTACAACTCTCTTTTTCACTCTTAGTATCTTTAACATCAAAATAGACAAGCCACCAAACACTGGCTTCTCAGGCAGGCAGACAAATCCCCTGTGACAGATACTGCTGGGTTTGTTTTTTACTTGGCAGCTATTCCTCTCTTCTTGCTTAAGAACCAAATTCACGTCAGGCTACAATGTGCATAGGCAAGGCGAGCCCAGCTAAAATTGAGGATGGTTTAAATCAATCATGGTTTTCCCACTTTACACTGCCAGTATTGGTTAAGAACTAAGAATGCGGCCTGGTTAGAACTAAGACTGCCTTGAGAAGAAATCCACTAGGGGGCCGCTTGGAAAGGTTTAATCTCCTATTAAGTGAGAAGGTTCCTTAAATGAACATTCCTTTTTTTCTGGTCTCTGGATGTGTCAACACACAAAGTCTGGAACTTTGGCAGTATTGTGGATTCATGAGGAGAAAGCCAAGAAAATCACAGAGAAACTAACCTCAATATCAGCACTGAAAACTGTCTACTTCCGTCTTTTTATGTGAGATAATAAATCCATATTTTTTAAGAATTCTATTACTTGCAGCCCAAAACAACCTAGCTGGTAGACTTCTCTCTAGCACAACCACAAAATCCACTGGTCACACCCTAAATCAGTGGTTCTCACCTTATGCAAATTTAGAAATAAGTATGTCTTGCGTGTGTGTGTGGTGGAGGGGTTGGGGTGGGGTGGTACTGACACAGTGCTAGGAGACGGCTACAGACATTCAGTGTCTGGGGACCAGGAAAGCTCAATGCCTTACATAATGTGCAACAGTCTCTCACATCAAAGAATTACTCTGCCCAAAAGCTTGCAGTTCTCCTACTGAGAAGTGCTACTGTATACTTTATCACTATTAATAAATAACTGTACACCCTCCAAAATCTTGATTTCAAGTATTAGAGTACTTACTCTAGAGACCACTTCAATAATTCCTCAATGCCACCAAGAGTGCCACTCCACTATTCCCAATGCTTTCCAGTCTTTCCTCTTCTCTTCCTTGTTTACCTGGGTTAGATTCATTTGTCCATCACTACAATAACTGCTTTCTACGCACACCTTCGATTTCTTTGCCTGTCTCTCCTCCGCTGTACTTAGCCAAGAAGGCCTTAATCTTGGCTAAATCTTACTCTCCTCCTACTTTGTGCTTTCACCCTAGTAGCTGAACGTGGTTGGAGAAAACACAGTCATTTAAAATTCATGTGTACTAATCTTAAATAGCTTGGCGATGCCTGGCAATTCTAAAACATTTCTTAGTACGTTTACTCTTCTCTTCTCTAAACTGACCATTTCACATCTTCTCTTTTACTTGTTAAAAATCTAATACACTCTCCACCTTCCTTATTCTCAGCTGATGACCCTGCTTAGCATTTGATTTATTGTCTGTCTTCTCAAAATAGAATGTAAGCACTGCGAGGGCAGGTAGTTTTTCTTTTTCTCTTCATTATTATATGCCTGGTTATGTGCAGAACAGTTCCTGGCTCATCGGCGCTCAGTATATAGCTGATAAATGGATGAATCTGCTTATACGTTAACCCATGCCATTGTATGAAACAGAGATTAACAGTAAAAGGCAATGATCTTATATTTTCGTTTGGTTTGCTTTGTATAAATGATACCAATGATGTAATGATACTCTCTAGGATCATATTGAAGAATTCAAAACACAAAAAACCCCTGGGAAATACGAATTTCTCATTCAGAATAGGATGGAGCAGGAAGCAACAGGTCATTGCTCTATTGCTCCTGTTGAGAAAAATAAAAATACACTACATAATTTGTAAAAATCTTATTTTTACCAACATCATGTATCTGGGAAAGCAAAGAGGACTAAGTAAAATAAATCAGAGAGGGATGAGCCACCCTGAGGTGAAAAGACTATGACAGCTGCCTCTTACTTTGGAAACGAATCCAATCCTGTGAGGAAGCTTAGGCTCAAGGTTGCCCTGAATTGAGGGATATTGCATTGGGGAAAAAAAAAAAAAATCACAGCTTCTGGAGGATGGGTGGGGCTGCTGCAACAATTTGGAAACCTCAGGCTCTGTAAATACGTGGTGTTGTTTTCCTCGTGGTACATTTCTTGTATCTGGGAAATGCATGGGAAGTTAGGGAGCTTCTATGAGTCAGACTGGGATCTCCTATAGTATTGAAGTATTTCAGAGACAGTCACGCTCCAGAAAGAGGGACTGTCTCAAACACATGATCCGTATCCCCATCAAGACATCTGCTAAATTTGGAAGTGGCATTGGGGTAGGAGGCTGAGGGACACAATAAATCTCCCACCATTTATACAGTGAGGGAGAAAGAGCCCCAACCAGGATCCATCCAATTCTCCATGACCTGTGAGACAGGAGGCAGGCCAAGTCTAATTAAAACTGCAACCCAGCCTTGACCTAGAGCAACTCCTGATTGGACAAAGAAAGGAAAATCCTCTCTGTAGTGAAAATAACATAAACACCATTTTCTGTCTTATTTTTATTCACGATATTTGTCATACAATAAAAATTATGAGATATTTGGAAAAGCAGGAATGTGTGATCAATAATCAAAAGAAAACAACAGAAATAGAGACAGACTCACAGATGATTCAGGTGTTGGAATGAGCAAACAAGGACTTTGAAATAACTGTTACTAACATGTTAAAGAAAATAGAGGAAAAGATAGACAAAAAGATGAGAAATTTCAACAGAGAATCAGAGACTTTAAGGAAGATTCAAATGGATATTCTTGAACTAAAAGAGACAATATCTGAAATTAAGAGTCATTGGATGTACTTAACATCAGAATAGATACAGCAGAAAACAGGACTAATAAACTTGAAGGCAAGTCAATAGAAAATATCAAAATTAAGCACAAAGAAAACTAAGAATGGAAGGAACAGGATAGAGAATAAAAGAAATGTGGGACACAGTCTAAGATATACACAATTAGAGTCCCAGAAGGAGTAGAGAGTGAATAGGGCAAAAGAAATATCTATAGAAGTCATGGCTTAGAATTTTCCAAAATTGATGGAAGATATCAATCAAGATTCCAGAAGCTCAGTGAATCCCACAAAGGATTTTACATTAATAAAAAGAAAACCACTCCTAGGCAGATAAAGTCAAACTGCTTGAAACTGAAGTTAAGAAGAAAATCTTAAAAGCAGCCAGAGGGGAAAAAAAAGATATATTCAAGAGACCAAGATTAACAGCTGACTTCTCAAATATAATGGAAATCAGAAAACAATGGAATAACATCTGTAGAGCATTGAAAGAAAAAACTGCCAAGCTAGAATTCTAACCCAGCAAAATACACTTCAAAAATGAAGGCAGAATAAAGACATCTCAGACAAACAAAATCTGAGAGATTTTGTCA